ACTAAATTAGGGCGGGTGAATGAGGTCAGTCTTTAAGATGAACAAGACTCTTCCAGGGAAGCGGATTTGACGATTTTTGAAGGAAAGGGGCATCTTATGGAGGAGGATTATCGAGATGAAGTATGGCAATATGGATAGAGGGAGGTATTCCAGAGCATCGACGAGATCATATGGGACAGGGCTGTGGAAGAGGATTTGTACAGGGAAGGAGAAATTTCAATAGTTCCTTAAGTGGAGAGTGGGAGATAGGGAGAGAGCCAGCTTTTGGTCTGACATTTGGCTTGATGGAGGGGCCATAAGAGAGAGATTCCTGCGGATTTTTACGATAACACGATATAAGGACATTTCTGTCAAAGAGGTGTTCACTGAAGGAGAGGGCAGGAGGGAGTTGCAGGTGGAAGTATATCGAATGGACGATTATGAATATTTGACCAAGAGAGAGCCAAATGAAGGAAACTTTCTGTTTAGACAAATATGGAGACTAAACGTACCCCCTAAAAATAGCATTTTTCGCTTGAGAAGCAGCTAGTGGGAACATCTTGACAATTGATAAGCTATTGAGAAGAGGTTAGACTATGGTGAACTGGTGTTATCTATATAAGAGAGCAAAGGAAACTTGTGATCACGTTCTACTTCGTTGCTTGATTGCATACAGCTTATGGTATATGGCTCTTGGGATTCTTGGGTACAACTACGTCATGGCGAGCATCAAGGAATAAATTTGGGCACGTTAAGGGTATTACGAGTCAGAAGAAATATTTGGGGCTCATTCCTTTTGCTATTTCTTAGGTTGTTTGAAAGAAAAGAAATAGAAGAGTTTTTGAGACAGTGGAGGAGGTATTGATAAGATTAAAGAGAGATTGTCCCAATCCCTTAAAGTTTTGATAATGAAACAACATTTGTATTCCATAGTGAATCTAGGTGATCTAATTGAAATGTTAGGATATGCAAATTCTTTTTGTACATGGGTTTTGTACCCCCTTGGTGCATGTAATTAATGATAAACTTAATACATTTTATTTTAAAAATTGTGCATATGAAAAAGCAGCAAAATATGCAATTAGAGAAGTTTCTTAGGGTGAATCACCAGTATATGTACAATCTACAGATTTGGAATCATTAACTTATTATCTTTTGAGATAATCATAGTTCACTACCTTTTTATTTAGGCGAGAAATAGTCAAAGGCAACTCTTCTAGTCCATTGATATGAAGAATGCTAGAATCCTCATGAAGTTCCCCAGCTCCAACATCTGAAATTGAAGGACGAACCAATTCAAACTAAAATGGCGGTAGCTCTAAGAAAGCATGATTAATTTCTCTAGCCGTAGAATACATGAAAGGAGCCAATAATAAGTACAACCAAACCACAAGCCGGCCAGAGGCTATGATTGGTGCATTATGCCAACAGATAGCAATTAACCTAGTATAACATTGAAGGACAAGAGAGCTCCACCTTTGTCCTATAAAAAGAGATACTATGAACCAATATTGAGCCAATTTAATGGACTCAAGATCCTTATTGCACAGTCAAAGAAAATAAGAAGATTAAAAGGTTTAGAACCAACAGCAAATTTTTAGATGAACTTATCAGATAATGGATACAGCTAAATGCATTTCACAAACAGAATTATGGCAGCAACATGATAATTGAGAATATGATAATTTGTTCTAAGAGATCACCAATATATAGCACCGCCACTAGAGGCATGCATCATTTTCTTTTTATCAATGAGAGAAATTAAACTTTGCAAACTTCATAAAAGACTTTACCACCACAGCCAGAAAATGATGGTGAGAAATTAGACCTACGTTTGAAACGTTCACAACCTGAATTTGGAGTGTCTTTTTATCTAACAAAAAGCAAAAAATACTCCATTCCTTGCTACTGAGCAAGAGTTAATAGGTCTGTGATACTCACCCAGCACAACAGTCAGCAAACCGCAATCCTCTTTATGGGAAGCTTCCTTGTTCCTGCTATCAACAAGGAACAAAATTCTCCCTCCAATACCAGCCCATGCTTTAGAAATGTCATCAAAAGCATTATTTGTAGAAGATGCATTAAAGAGATTACAATTGTGCAAAACCGCTACCTCCTCGAGTAGGCTTATCTATAACAAGTGGGTAGAAATCAGAAAAATAAACCCAAGCCATTATTTTGTCACCAACAGATAATTACTTGCTATGCCAGAAAAATAAATCAGTGGGCAACAACTTATCGATATGTCATTGCTTGAAGAAATGTGAAAATCGAAAGTATAAACTTGGCATAGATTAACAAGACCGCTAAGAATTCCCATATGACCAAACGTCAAACCCTCGTGCGACATATAAGCAGAAAAAAATCAAGAAAATAACCTTACGAGCAGAGAGACCAGGACCATAAGAAATTCCCTGCAAAAGCAAGCGATCGTGAGTAAGTAAAACTGATCCTTAAAAGCACCAGAACAAAGAAAGGCACGTACAGACAATTCTCGTCAGGAGCAGAAAGGCAGTACCGTGCGAATCTTCGAGTGACGAAGTCTACGGAGAAGAGATGGAGCCCCCACTCGCAGAGAAAATGCGTTTTGATCATCGACTGGGGAGGCAAATAATGCGGATTCGTCCAGTACAACTCCACGAATCACTTCTCCCATTATACACTTTTCTTCTCTGTAATTTAATGGCCTTGCCTGTTCTTATACTCAGAGCGCCACCGCGAAGACGAAGAAGCAGCAGACGAATTGAAATGCGTATTCACTGACATATCAGAAATATGTATATCTTCGTTCCCAAACAAGGTTATATTTAAATCTATTATATTTGAATATAATTAAATTAATTATAGTATTTCATATGTTTATATCAATATATCATGCTCAAGCAACTCCATGTACACATGGGCCATCATAGATTTCTATTGTTTCAATAAGGTCTTATTAGTGAAACAAATTTGAAGGTTGGTATATTTTCTCATGAATCACTTTTAGTTGAAGGAAAATATTTTTCCTATAATTATTTCTTCTTCTCCCTCTATGAATCAACGACTAAGTTACACATAAAAAAATATTTTAGTTGATTGATCAACGATCAAGTTATACGTAGAAAAATATTTTAACTGATCATTTATTTTTTTTTTAAAATTAAAATAAAAAATTAAGACTGATATAAATATAAAGTATGTACAAATAGATGGTTATTGAAAGATAATAAAAATAAAGTTTGATCACTGAGATCATTGAATACGTTAGATTTAATCATTTCAAATGTAATAAAGATATAATTCCATCAATTATTATTATTATTTTTTAAAATATATATTTCATTAACGATTTTATTATTCAAAAAATTACAAAAATAGATGAAGGTATAACGTCTCAAATATATAAAAAAGGATACATACATGTATTTCTAGTAATAGAATGAGCAAATGAATTACATGCTCGGCTAATCCATTTCAATCTCACATTTGGTATGCTACGAAGCAGTTCCTTACAATCCTCCATTATGAACTCCAGTTCAACAGTATCATCTACATCCGAGATTATGGCTTTGTGCACCCGCTACGCATCTAGTTCGATTGTGCCTAGCCCCAGAACATGATCATGGATGAATTGCAATGCCATGCGGCAGCCCAACAACTCAAAAATGACAGGGTGAATAGCAACTCGGAATTCTACCAGAAATAACATGCGTTGCTTTGCCGCTTGTATCTTGATTAACCACTCCATACCCTCCACTCGTATCGCGAATTCCATCAATTACCTAGTAAAAAAAAATTGAAAATATTATGAAAATTATGCTAAAATATAAAAAGACTAGCCGATAAATTCAATTTGCATATTTTTATAAATATAACACACTTTTATTAAGCATTTAGCACATGTTATGGTGCACTTAGTCTTTATATAATATCTTAAGTAACAATATTAAAGTGGGCAAGCTGACAAGTGGCAGCTAAGAGGGTTAGGTCCCAAGTTTTATAAAACGGGCATCCTTCCAATTAATTAGGAAGCTTGAGTTATTAGTTTTTGGAGCAAAAACGACATCGTTTGAACTCATTAATAATATTAATTATAATATAACTTTTAATGATGACATTCACTAACATATAATAAGATTCAAACTTGTATATTATAACTTAAAGAATAATAAAAGTATAAAACATATAATAAAAAATAATTGATGATATGGCATGAAATAATTGAATCTAAAACCCACATATAATTGAATTGGAGGGCTCCTACTATTCTCTCAACCGCCATACACGTGAGTCCCAGCACTTCAAATTTTGAGCCACCATTGAAGTCTGTGTGCATAATTATACCAGTTATTGGCCGCCTGAGTTCGTGAATAATTTGCTTCTATAATTAGCATGAGACCCCTAATCTTTGCTTCTTTTGATAAGTAGCATAAAACATGCACGTAATTAAAGTGATGATTAGCTCAAATCAGTTGTCAGTTGCCGGTGGAGAATCCAAAATTCCATATTATACCAACTTGCTAATTATATATATTTGATTAATTATTACAAAAAGGCTGCATTAGTGTTAATTATTTATCAAAAACGAGATGAAGGAGAAGACACAGTGATGATAATGAAGGTAAAGGAAAGATTAAACCTTATTATATATGTATATATATCCAGCAAAATAGCGCGTCCAATAATTAATGAAATCACCATATGCGAACGAATCAATTATTATATATATATATATATACATGTCCAGCAAACCATGTGCATCTGCTGCTCTTTCTTCCAGTCCTAAAGCGTATACTGCAGCTAGCTACATCCACCAATGTCTTCAAAATCTTCTTACGTCCCCTCCTTGATCCATCACCTTTTTACTTACTTCGATATGTAAATATATATATATATATATATGACCAGTCTGTTTGATTCTGATGTATGTTTCACTGCAAGTACCGCACGAACCAATGAAGATACGTATCATATTGCAGATCAATGTAATCACCAATTTGGATGAAGCCCTATATGCATAAGCAATAATATTGCTTTCACTAATTTCTTTTGCTCTTAAAAACTTCATTTTAACATATTGCTATTAGTTGGTCGATACACCAAATATATATATATATATATATATATAGTAATATGCTCAAACAATCTATATCAGCTAATAAGATGGTATAATGTTTATATATTTTCAAATTATTTTGTGTACATTTAACATTTATCCCGACTTAATACGTGATTATTCCATGGCTGGATCTGACTTTTTGGAGTCAAATCATCTTATATACCTAAATCATAATATATATATAAATGCACAAGAGATTAATAATACTGAGGTAATGATTATATATAGATTTACAGAAAATCACGACTGTACAAAAATTCAAACATCTCTTTCTTTTTCTTGGAAGAAAACTAATTCTGTTCATTTTCTTTGTAATACAGAGAAGAAGTAGTAGTTTAATAAAGTAAAAGAAAAACAGAGACATCAGACTAAAACAATATTAATTTATGTAGTTGGTGAGAATATTGAGCAGCGAAACCCTGGTAGTGATCAAACTCCTCATTACTCTCTCGCTCTCATTTTCGATTCCTCGTATACATTCCTCCAACTCAAGCATTTTACTCAACACGATCCTCACCTCCTCATCACCTTTCTTCCTCAATCCCCACAAGCTCTCCTCCCCAACCAGTTGCAGTTCTTGAATTCCCTCAGCCGCCGTAACCCTCTTCGCTTTCTTCGAGTACAATCTCTCCACCAACCTCCACGACGTTTTTCTCCACCCGAAAGCTCCATATATTCCATTAAACAACGCAACTGAGACCATCACCGTCGCCTCAACTACGTCGCTGATTACGGCTGCGAGTTCTGCATCCCCGATGGACACTATGAAAGCGGTGACCGAATCGGGGTAGTTTTTGGCGCTTATACATCGGATTGTGGATACCAGATTGAGCATCTCTCGGGCTATCTTCCTCCGAGATTTTAAGTAGAGAGCTACCTTGGAATCATCTCTTCTCCTGATATCGACCTGGGCAGCGGACTGTTCTTCTTTGAGTGCCAAAACAGATGTTTGGAAGATTCCGTAGACGTCGACCAAGCGGAGGAAATCTTCGAGAAGGGTTTCAACCCATTGGTTGCGGTTTCGGAGGGAATCTTGGGTTTGGGGAAGGTCGAGAAGGTCGTGGAGAGAATCATGGAGGTCCTTGAGGCGTGTGAGGCCGTCGCAGAGCCATGCAGAAGTGGGTTGTTGAGGTTTGTTGGAAGACCATGACTTGAGTTGGGTGATGTGGTCTTTGAGGAGGGAAATCAAGGGGTGTGATCTGCAGGGAAGACTGATAGATCTGATGTGATGAGATATAGGTGGCTTAGATGGACGACTGGGGTTGATCTTGTTTGGGAATGAAAGCGAACGACGGAAAACTCCTACCATTTTTGTCTTCGTAATGGGAGATGGAGAAGAGCAACAAGCCTTTCTTCTTTTTTTGACAGAAGAAGTTATATATAATCGATATATATACACACACACACATACACAAAGAAGGGAAGAGGTAGGAGTGAGGAGGCGCACGAGGGATTAAGAAGGGATAAGCATGACGATAATCAAGGTGGGTTAGTCTTAATCATGTGGGTTTAAGCAAACCGAGGTGGCTTATGGTTTCATTTCATTTCTCGTGGGAAGGAGACACCACGTGGTCTTGACACGCTGGCTCTCTGCCAACACTGCTCCTTTCTTGTTTCTTTCTCAACTATCTGTTATAATTAATTATTATTATTATTACCTTAATTAATACTTATATACTTTACTAATTAAATAATATTATACATTAATAACATTATTTCATGTAATTACAAAAATAATGATGGAACATGGGGAGGCTTAGATGTGAGAAGTAGAACCAGCTCTGTATGTCTACAAATCAAATAACACATGCCTGTTTATACGGCTGTGCAAAGTCATTTTATTTATAGTGGGTCAAATTTCACACGGATTGCCATAGCTGGAATTTATTTTCTTAATTTTAGGGACTCGAAGAAGATTTTATAAACTCCATTGATAATAATGTGACAGGGAACTTAAGAAACTCAACTTCAACATCACACACACCCACGTACACATATTTTATATTTTTAATAATAATCAAATTTGTATTGGTACATGTATATATATACATACACGACCCTTTGGAGAAGACTAAACTTGCATACATTATTGACTCGTTTACATAATCAAGAATTATGTTAATTAATAAAGTTTAATGAGTAAACTCGTCGAATTCTCATGAAGAAATAGACAGAGAGACAGGCAGGCTAGCCAAGCAGACATGACAGATCGGACTCTTCCAGATGTACATACACCTCCATTCTGTAGTAGCACGCATGAAATTGAAATTATTGTAGGAGTTTACAAAAGGGTATTAATTTTTAACCTTTGTTTATTTAAATTTAATTAACTTGGAATCTGTTATCGTTATAAACCTGTTTTTAATTAAGTTTGTGATTATCCAAAATCATACGGGCTACAATCTGGGTTTCTGAAATAAAGCCTCCTTGACTCTGACAAGCCCTTCGGCCCACGTTCCGGTTCGCATGTAGTGGACGGTGACGTGGTTGATGTATAATTCACAACGTGCACAGAGCGGGTCACGTGTCGTATAATGGTTCATGCAAAGTCCGCTACAAAATGAGAAGTGGGAATGGAGAAAGGAAGGTGATAAGATGGCGGAGTTGAAGTGGATGAAGAGGGAAAGGGATGAAGGCGAAAAATATGCGGAAGAGGAAGAGGATCAGAAAATAAAAGAAGAGCAGGAGCACGGTCCGGCTCATATGTCAAGGATGGAGCCCGTGACTCACGGCGCCTACGGCGGTGGAATGTACGGAACGGAGAAGGTTGAAGAAGAGAAGGTCGGCAAGAAGGTACCGGCGAGCGAGAGCCAGAGTGCGGATGGACCGGAGGGGACACCCACCAAGCCGAAGCATCGACCTCCACCTTCCTCCGGGGATAGAGATATTGATATCACCGGTCAATCCTACATCCAATGAACTCTCTTGAATTTAATCTTTACTTGTTAGTTTTTCCTTTTCTGTAATTACATGTTCTCCTTTTTTTTTTTTTCTGTTTTGAAGTTGGATGTTAAGATTTATATATACATATGATGTGATGGTACTCCAGCATCAGATTTTATACTTTTTTTTTCGTGAAGTAAAATTATATTATTTAGATGGGTATTCAAATTTTGAGGGAAGAAATCCATTTATTCCTCTGTATACTTGTCTCCATAGCAGGAATATGCAAAGAATTATACATGTTCTGAGTTTTCTGTTCTAACAAAAAGAAAAAGAACTGCATTTTGTTTCCTTATTTTCCGAAGTTCCATGAACCCTAAAATTGAAAAAATAAAGCCACAAATTAGCAAAAAACTAATATGTACGCTTCTCTTAATTGCCAAAAATCAGTACTCTTACTCCTCATCCCTTTCCAATCCCGCTAGCCGTTGTTTACTCCTAATCCATACCCACATATATCCTCTATAGGAGGAGCATCCCAGCTGAAACTCTGCCTTTCCATTTCCTCAAAATCCTCTATACAATTTTTCAACTGCATCCGCCAAACCCTCTTCCTCTCACTCGCTACCATCTTCCCTGAAACACTGTCGAAAATTCTCTGCCACCCTCTCTCCCATTCGCCACGAGCATCGCACAGCTCAACCGACCCATTTCCCCACTCTGTCCAGCTCCAGTCTTTGTACAGAGACGTCATCACATCTTCCACGCACGACCCTCGACACACCGGCGTACATGGCCTGCACTTGGCTCCACTCAGCGGACCGGGACTCGATAAGGCAGCAACTGGTACCCCATAACGGGAGGGAGGAAACTCGTATCTGCGGTCCGTCACTATGCAGAATGGGAGGCGTTTGGTTACGTACTGTATGCCTTGGGTGTCGAGTTGGGCTTTGAATGCGGCTTCGGAGTTGAGTTCGGTGTAGCCGGCGGCCTCAAGTTTTGGGATGAGAGAGAGACGGGAGAGCGCCACTTTTGAGGTTTTGAGATCGCCGATGCCTAGTCTGTCGTTGAGTCCGCCGTAAGAGGAACCGGATGGAACCAGGTACTGACCTGGTAAAAAGTTTTCTGGGTCAAGTGGTGCGCTCCAGTATCCATCTACCCTTGTCCGGATTATCCAATCATAGCTGAAACCTTTTTGGTTCTGGTAAGTGTGGATCATCGTCAGACATCCCTCCACTAGATTGAAATATTGTAGAAGGCCCTGCACGCCGAAAACACAAATTATATTTTTTCAAGTTTTTTTTCTCCTAAAGGAAAAATTATATTCATCTTTCATTAAGATGAATACTTTTCTAACAATATATATATATCCATATACGTACACATACAGTAATGAAATTAATTACGTGTTCAATAATTATTACCTAATTAAAAACGTAAGGATAGGCTATAATGGCCGGCTAAACTATTCCAAATCCTCCTAACTCAACTACTAAACCATTTTCTATGCGGATCTCACCAAACTAATTTCGGGATCGCATGTAATTAGGTGACCCATCTCCCCTCTATTCTTGCATGATCTAACTCTCACCTCATCAGACAATATTTATGGAATTCTTTTTTAAAAACGAAAAAATTTGGCCGAACAGCCACACCCACTTCATCTTATGAACATGCTCATCAAACTGTAACAACTGTAACTGATGCCGCTACATCACCTTCTTTTTTGCTTCATTCTTAATCAACATTTTCAAATTATTGATGCATAAGATTATGTAATTACCTGAATGCCATTTGGAGAATTACGTGCGGTGAGGACATGGACCTGTGACTCTGTCTCTTCTATGCGTTTAGGTTCAAAAATTCTGACGGAGGCCAGTCTTGGCGCCATCTTTAACAGAGAAAACTTGAAGGCGTTGTTGTCCATTGGACTGTGCAGAAACAGGTCTGCATTTGGATACACCTTCAGGAATGTTCTCCACACCGACGGGCCCAGTCAGCTCGAACCTCCTCGCTCCACCCACTAAACACACGGCAATTCTCGACCGATTCAACTCCTCCCTCCATCCACCCTCCGCCGACTCACCACTCGTCGTGTTCGAACTCCAACCCGGCGGCAGATTGGGAGAATAAGAATAAGTAGTGGAGTTGTGAATCAAGGAACGGAAGAAAACCAAGGAGGGAAGTGGATTTAAGGGAGCTGAATATATGGAGAAAAGAACGAAAAGAGATAGAGAAGGGATAACTGAGAAGACGAGTCGCCAATTAAGATCGTAGAAGCACCTTTTCATCATGTTTATATGGAATATGGTGTTGGTCTAGCCTCGTTGCTCTCCATAAAGAAATTAACAGAGAAGTGGAAATGGAGGTTTAATCTCAAAACCCTGATTTCCAAGGCGACTGAAATTTTTTCTTCTTCGTCAAGGAAGATGGTAAGAACTTTAAACGTGGAATAAGTGGAGTTAGGCACCACAACTCACTGCTCTTACGAGGTCATTTTAGTCATTTCGGTCTTTCCGTTACCAATATTAAATAATAATTAAAGAAAATTCTGGACCTAATTAATTCACTATGCTTCAAATTTGATTTTTCTCTGCCTTGCCAACGGAAATTCCATTCTGTATATTAAAGCGCAAGACTTATTTAATTCTTATTTAATTTAATTTAATTTATACTTTTTATCATTTAATATATATATAACTGATTTATTTTATACTTAATACATAATTAAATTAATTTTGTTTAAATCTACAATCTTTTTTAATAATTTTATACTTTTAAAATATTTTTAAATAAATATTTAAAATTTAAATAGGAGTTTAACTCAATGTTAGTGAACGGCACGTTATTAAAACTACGTGATCACATCGTATTAGGGAGAGAATCGCCGTTTCTTAAGTGAAAAATTGTTTATATAATTTCAAAAATTTTCATAATCCTAAATAATTACTAATTAATTAATTAATTAATTTTAAAAATAGCAAAAAGAAATTGTTATGTTTATGACTTAATTTATTTATAATTATCAAAATCTTTATCTAAAATATCTGTAATTGTTAGTCTTAATTAAGATTATTCAAAACATAATTAGTCTTGATTAACGACAAATAAGTATTCAAAGAAAAAAAAGTTGGAAGGTCTGAAATCATGAATATCCAATTCAAAGTCGTAGCTTATAATTATAAAATACAGTTTTAAGAATGTAAATTATAGACGTCAATTATAATTTATAAAAAAATTATATATGAATTATGTGATCGATAGATAACGGCATAAATAAAACGTGGAGAAAAAAAAAAGGAAAAAGGAGGGGGCATTTTCGTCAGTTTGGGTAATGTATATCTTAGTGGGCCTAAACGAACCCAATAGCCCGGCCCATAAGACCATTGGGGGCCCACTGAAAGGAGACAAAGTCCAAGTGGGTGATGGTTATGGGCCTTAGATAAAGCAAGCCCATCTTCTATCGACAAGGAGACTTAATTCTGAGGCGTTAATTACCGTTAAATCGGAATAATAAGCTTGCTGCCTTCCCTGAATCGGCGGGGTATCAACCGGAGCGACGATGCAAGGAGTGTCATCGGGCGTAGGCTATGGTTTGAAATACCAGGTCGAGACTCGGTAACCTAATTTATCACTTCACTGTCAGACTTTCGTGAATCATAATAATCTCTTATGTACAGGCTAGATGCATATCTGATGTTAAAGCAGACACGGATCACACTAGCTTCCTCACTGGCACACTCAGTCTCAGGGAAGAAAACGAGGTTGTTTCCTAATTATATTTTTGTTACCTCGATGTCCATGCTTAATTACTTGAATCTGATCGGTTGGAATCTGCTAGGTTCATTTGCTTCGGCTATCTTCTGGTGGTACTGAACTCGTGTGCGAGGGTTTGTTTTCGCATCCTAACGAGATCTGGAACCTTGCTTCTTGCCCCTTCGATCAACGGATATTTTCTACTGTCTTCTCTACTGGTAACTGATTGCTTCTGCTCATCTTAATGCTTGATTCTTCAATGCACATTTTTCCTTTTAATTGCCGAGTTTGAATAATTATCTTCCACGAAAGTCACTTGCAAGTTCGGATTTTCTTGTAGATATGGATGGCTTTTGGATTTAGAATCAAAGGTTTAGGCATGCTTCATCTTTTTTAACCTGCTTTTCCTAGATTAATTGTTCCTGGTTATGATGAATGTTTTTTACCGTTTCCTTTAAATAACCTTTAGTTGTTTCCAAATAGTTCAGTAATTCTAATGGAACTATCTATTTCTATCTTTTCTTTAAATCTTATTGCTTGATACTGCTATTTGAAATTCAAGGTGAATCATATGGGGCAGCAATTTGGCAGATCCCAGAGTTATATGGCCAATTGAATTCTCCTCAGTTGGAAAGAATTGCCTCCCTCGATGGACATGTTAGTAAGATCAATTGGTGAGTTTATATACACCTATTCAGTTCTTTAATATACTTTTTCACGGTTTTACTTTCAGAAAAAAATATACGCCTATTAAGTGCAGTGGCTTTCTTTCTGATGTGCCTACCTCTGCCTCTTCTTTCTTCCCCTCTCTTGCCTTTTTTCTTTTAAAAAAATGGTTCAAATTTTATGTTTTTCTTTTTGGAGACGATGCTGAGTCTGAAGGTTTGAGATCCTGATTAATATATGTTATATTAAAAAGTTTTCATTGACTAACCGTTAGATGTTTTTGGCAAGAAAATAATTTGTTCTGTTGTAAGACTTTATTTTATGTTTGCTTAAACTGAATGAATTTCATATTGGACTTTCTTTTGCTTTTGTCAAATTTTGTTACTGCATATATTTCTTGTGCTCACTCCATGGACATTCTTAACAGCATTCTTTGGTGGCCATCTGGAAAATGTGAAAAGTTGGTTAGCATGGATGAGGAAAATCTTTTCTTATGGAGCTTAGATTGTTCAAAAAAGGCTGCTCAGGTACAGGTTCTAATGGAAGTCAGAGTCCAATAACATGCAGTTTTCAAGATTGTAATGTAGAATTTGTATGGCTAATTTTCATTCCAGTCCATCCTTTTATTTTGAAAAGGATAGCATTCTATTCACAAGGCACAAGCGAGGTGCTGCTCATGCACATATTTGATTTTAGTATTTCTTTTCGTAGTTAAGGATATAAGAATATCTTCTTAAAAATTGATAGTGTGATCTTAATAGAAAACAAATTGGATGCAGAAATGATGAGAATTAGAAAACAAGGAAGGCAGGAGACATACAAAGGACAACAGAGATAGTCAGAGAGCTCGTGAACTTGGAAATTTGGTATAGTAATATACTAGAATTAATCTTCTTGCTATGGACTATGAAAGAGGGTGATGCAAACACTAGGTTTTACCACTGGGCTGTTAATGGTCAGGAGAAGAAGTGAGATTAAGGAGCTAGAATTGGATTGGGGGACGGGGGGGGGGGGGGGGGGTGGGCGTTGGGAGGGTGAGAGGGTGAGCCAGATAAGGGCTGATAGGGCATGAAATTACTGAGTTCTGTCATAGTTTAGATACCGAGGATGAGGTATCTAGGCCATTCCTTGAAGGGGTTGATTGGCAACCATTAGTCATGCCAAAGTCAAGTATATTGAAAGACATTTTGAGGAAGATGTGTTGAAGTATGGATTCTTCCTTCGTAAACCTAATACCTAAGAAAGACAAGTCAAAAAGGGTATTTGGTTATAGTTCTATCAATTTGGTGACTAGTGTATATCAAATCGTAGCTAAGATGTTGTCCTTACCCCTTAGTGAAGTTTTAGATGACACTATCTTACCAAATCAAAGCATATATCAAATCATGGGAGGGAGATAAATCTTGGACGCATCCCTTATTGCTAATGAATATATGGTGTATATGCAAAGGGCAAAGAGAGAAGGATTAGTCCTAAAATTAGACTTTCAAAAAGGCTTATGACAGGGCAAATTGGGGATTTGACTCGGTGATGGACCGCAAGGGTTTTGGACCTAAACTGAGGACATGAATGAGAGGGTGCTTGCCTCCTATCTCATTAGCGGTGTTAGTGAATAGAAAAGTCAAGCAGTGGTTTCAGGATAATCAGGAAATTAGATAAGGTGATCCATTATCCCTATTTCTCTTAACTTTGGTATTGGATGGCTTAAGGAGGACGCTTATTAAGGGATCTGAGAGAGAGCAATTGAAGGATTTCTCATTGGTATTGATATAGTTGAGTGTCCCGCCTCCAATTTGCAGATGACACAATTCTATTGCTATCTCATGATAATAGATCCATCTTTAATGCACTCACTTTGGTCGGGGTGTTTGAACTTATTTCTGGGCTTTGAATTAACATGATAAAATGTGGGTCGGTTGGTACTAATATGTCTGCTAGCACAGTGAAATCTTTAAGAAACTCACTTTGGTCGGGGTGTTTGAACTTATTTCGGGGCTTTGAATTAACATGATAAAATATGGGTCGGTTGGTACTAATATGTCCGCTAGCACAGTGAATATTCTTGCAGAGGTTATCATTTCTGGGACTTGTAGTTCATTTTTTATAAATTTTCACTTTTTTTATAAATTTTCATATTTTTTATTTCGAAAAAAAATCAGTTCTGCGACCTTAGCATGACCCATTACATACCTTGGCATTCTGTTGGGCAGTAATTCTAGGTGTAAGTCATTTTGGGACAGGATGCTCAGTAAGGTGTCTAGGCGTTTAAAAGTTAAAAAGGGAGTCCTTTTTCGCTGGGTGGTAGAGTCACTCTTATCTAGGCATGTCTGTTTAGTATCTTTATCTACTGTATGTCCTTATTTAAAATCCCCACCAGTGTAATTGAGCCCTTAGAGGGTGTGATGGGGAATTTTCTATAGGTTGTGATAGTGAAGATAGGAGAGGTCACTTAGTTCAATGGGAGGTTTTTCGTAGGTCTAAAAGTTTTGGAGGATTGGGCATAAGTAATCTTAAACTAGGAGTTTATCATTATTGGTTAAGTAGTTTTAACATTTTCAGTAGGCATAAGGTAACAAAAAGAATTTACAGGAGTCAGTGAAATGGTTGGGATCGTGTAGCTCCGAGATCCACCAATCACAAAAGTCCATAGAAGACCATTTGAAGTTTGTTGAACATCTATAGGCCTCTTACCAGAAACAAAGTGAGGAAAAGTTTCAAGGTCCTTTTTTGTGAGGATCTTTGGACGGGTGATTGACTCTTGGGTGTCCAGTTCCCATGCCTTTGTCGCATATCTTCCTGCCACAATATCCCGATCGACCAATCCTTTTGTCTTTCCAACGGTTTTCTAATTTGGAATTGTCATTTCTTCCGTAGCTTGATTAATAGAGCAGCTGTTGAATTCCTTACCATGTTAAACTTGTTACAACTGTTTCAACATTTCCTGCAGCCTGATTGCAGGATTTGGATCCTTGACTCATTGGGTACATTACCTGCAAATCATTTTTCAATCATATAACAAAGAACTCTGGTTGTTACAAAAGTACCTTTACACAAGGCATTTTGGCAAGTCAAGGTTCATTTGATGGTGAAGGCTTTCATATAGACTGCAATGCTGAACCGACTTAACATCAATGAGTTGCTGCAAATTCATAGGCTTAGGTGAGCTCTATCTCATGATATGTGTGTTATGTGCCATAAGGGCAGCCGTTGTGAAGTGTTGTGGAAATATGGGTTAGGCTCTTTGACAGTTTTAGCTGGTCATGGATGACTCCTCCCCCTTTGGATTGTTTCATCAACACAATTTTGGATGGTTTTGGGGTTAAGATAAAGGCCAGACAAGCTGATCAAGAGGGGGACAATTTTGGTGAATGGTGTTTCTTATGCAAAAGGGAGGCAAGCTTGTAATCATATCCTTCTATGATCCTTTTGTGTATAAGTTGTGGACTCTTATGTACTCTTGAGTATCAATTGGGTGATGGTTGGTTCGTTGAGGGAAGAAATTTGGGCGTGGGAGGACATTGATGGAGGGAAGAAATATGTTAGTCTCATTCCCCTTGCTATCTTTTGACCAATATGGAAAGAGAGAAATAAGAAAGCTTTTTTGAGGGCGTGGAATATGATTTTGATAGAGTAGAAAATAGATGGTTTCAGACCCTAGGTTTTTGTATTATGGGTCATACTCTCTATTCATTCGATAACTATGGGAACCTATAGACATTTGAATCTATATGTAAATATCTTTCTACATGGGTTTGCATCCCCTTGGTGCATGTGAATGAATCATATCATATTATTTTTATTTTTTTAAAAAAGATAAAGGTCAGACCATTGTGGCAGAGAGTGTTGTTTACCTAGTCTGTGGACAATTTGGATAGAAAGAAATCGGTATATTTTGAAGATCATCCTCTGCAGGGCAACCTCATACGGGAGGAGACAGCATTTCTGGCTTCCCTTTGAACCAAGGCTAATTGGAAATACTCTGACATCTCTCTCGCTGTGCTTCATAAGAGCTGGGATACTATAGTCATGTGATTTATCCTTTACTTGGTGCTTTCATTTTGTAATTTTTGTTTTGATTTCTTTTTTTTTTCCAGCTAAATTTATTATTTGCTTCTCTTTGGTATCTTAAAAAATTTTTCTATCCAAAAGAAACAGTAATTTTATACACAAACCAGGAAAATTAAAAAAAAGGAAGATAAGGAAATAAATTAGGCAAATAAAGGACAATAGGAAAAGTCAAGTAGACAACCAATTGATAACCTGATCTTAATAAAATAGTAATCTGATGCACAAACTATGAAATTTAAAAAGGAAGAGATGAGAAGGTAGAAAATGAAGGACAGCAGATAGAGTCAGAACGCATATAACTTTTACAATATGATATAGTAACATTGTATAATTAGTTGTGTTTCCTACATTTTTTTTTGAAATAAATGTAAGAAAAAAAAATACAACCAATTTCATGTGTTTCTTACATGAAATTTAACAATTTTTTTTTTTGAAATTTGACAAGTTATACACAGTGTTAGATAAAATTTTTAGTCGTTCCAATAGTTGCCTGACTGTTGCAGCTCACTAAACACAACCAATTAGTTTTGTTTGCTTTTTCTGGAACCATCTTATCATATTATCCACTGAATGCAGATTAGATTTCTTTTATAATGTAGGTGCAATCTAAGGAGTCAGCAGGTATGCTGCACTATTTATCTGGTGGAGCATGGGATCCACATGATGTAAATGCTGTTGCAGCAACTTGTGAATCATCAATCCAGTTTTGGGATCTACGTACAATGAAGTATGTATCTTTCTAGAAATCTTCCTTCCCTTTGGCCTCCATTTTCTCCTTTCTGGGATAACTTTTCAATGCTAGATGGAGCTGCATTTTTAGAGGTATATAGATGCTCTCCAGGCAAGTTATTTTCCTAGATGTTTTAGATGGTTCTTGTTCTCCTGATCTAGAAGATTAGTTCCAAAAGTTGATGAAAACTGAGAAGAAATTAAGTGGAATATCTTTAGTGATAGGAAATATTTTTGTAAATATGGTGATTTGTGATACTTTATTATGTTAAAATTATTTGGGCTATTTAGGAATTACACATTAGTTTTATAAGTTTTTGACAATGATTAGAAACATTTTTTTTCTCATTTTATCTTGATTATTATTATTGTTTCTGTAAAAGAGATGCGGAGAGTTATAATCATGTACTATTATGGTGTCCCATTGCGTACAAGTTACGGATTATGGTCGTAGGTTGCTGGGATCAACTGGGTGATGGTTGGGTCGGTGAGAACCGAGATCTAGGCGTGGAAGTGTACTAGTGGTCAGAGGGAACATGTGGACCTCATCGTTCTCGCTATTTTTTGGATGATTTCAAAAGAGAGAAATAAAAGAGTTTTTGGGGGTAGATGATGATTTTGATAGGGTTAGAAACATATGGTTTTATACTCTCAATTTTTTTATTATAGGTCATCCCTTATATTCAATAGAGGATTTTGGGGACCTTGTTGACATCTTGGTGGATATGTAAATATTTTGTACACGAGTCAGCATCTCCTTGGTACCTGTTAATGGTACATATTATACTTTTTATTTCAAAAAATATTATTATTGTTTCTGTATTTGATTTTCTTCATTATTATTATTGCTTCTGTATTTTATTTTCCTATATAAAGGCTACTAACGTTGAGTTAAATAGTATTTTCAGTCTGAAGAGTTCTTTAGTTAATTCCCTCTTGGTTTTGTTTGTCCCTTATCCCTGATAAATCTCATCCTAATCCTTGATTTCCTTAATGGTCCCTGTCCACTCCTTCTACTCCTGTGATTCTTGCCCTCTGACCTTAAATTTCCTTTGAGTTACTTCCATTCTTCTACTTTCCCCGTTCTATACTGCTCTAATTATTCTATCGTACATAATTTTGTACCAATCCCTAGCTTATACTATATCAAGTGTTCTCTATATATTGTACATGTGAGTTCATGGTGTTTAATAATGTGGATTTTGCGGATGCAGGAAGGTAAACTCGATTGATCATGCCCATGTCCGCAATATTGACTACGACATCAAGAAGAAGCATATACTCGTAAGAATTTAGAGTTATATATCTATTACAACTTTGGACACATCTGTGTACAGATGTGCTCCTTTTGATTATTGATTAGCAATGAAAGATAATATGATGTTTGCATGTGCATCTGTATTGAGTATGTGTATAGATTGAAAAAGCGAAATGGTGTTTTTCTAAATACTTTTAGCTTTTTGTCTACCAGGTCATGATCATGCATGAAACTTCCCTCTCTGCCTTTTTGCTTATATGGGGAGGCCCATTGATTGAACCAGCCTAGAAAGAAATCCCTCAGTTTTCTCAAAATTAGTAAAATGCTGATGTATCACAGACAAAGTAAAATATATTTGATAATGAAAATTTATATGTGAATATATATATATAATATTCGGTTATTAAGCTCAATAATATTATTGTTTTAAACTTATTGCATTAGAGATACTCTGGTGACTATCATCCCAATCTGGCTTTTTTCTGAGATTTTTTACTTTGTGAATTAAAATACTTAACTGTTTCTAAGTGTTGGCACCTTGCCAGGTTACTGCAGAGGATGAATCTGGTATACACATTTGGGACCTTAGAATGCCAAAGATTCCTATCGAAGAGCTACCTGGACATACACATTGGTAACTCACTTATTCTACATCCCTAATCATATTTGACATGCGCAGAAATTTGATTGGTCCTATTGAGGTACTCATTAGTCCTTAGTAATCCCTCCTATAATTTTGGCAGGACATGGGCTGTTAAGTGTAACCCTGAGTACGAGGGGCTGCTTTTGGTACTCTTTCTCTCGCTTTCTTCCATCCATACAGACATGTGCATGTTAATTATGCATTAAAAAAATTTGAAAGTCATCACTGGAAAATATAGATTGAATCTAGTTGGACTTGGACCATACTTTTTATTATTCATGTCTAATTTGTGCCCCCAGATATATTTCTACTTTAGTCAGACCAGTTTGCTAGGAGATGATCACTAGATCAATGAACCATAGCATTTCATCTTTACTGGCTAGTTAGTTATGTCATATTTCTGACAGAGGTAAGCAACTGCAGAGTTCTGGTACAGACTCAACTGTTGGCTTGTGGTTGACGGGCACATCAAGTGGTGATCAATTAACATCTGAAAGGTTATTTTTCTTTCCTATGCAAGGAGATTTCCGCAAGAAAGTCCTATTTTATTGTTTAATTTGTTCTAATAACTTTATTGTTTTTGTTCATGGGTTTGGCAGCTCGGTTGAATCACCACGCCGACGAGTAAATCCATTACTAACTTCATACAGCGACTATGAAGACAGTGTGTATGGTAATTACTTCAACTCTCTGGTTTATTGCATGTCAAAAATCTTAAAATACTGTTGTAACCTTTTGAGATTTTAATCACAGGCCTTGCTTGGAGTTCTCGTGAGCCTTGGATTTTTGCATCATTGTCCTATGACGGGAGGGTGAGATTTTGGTCATTTCTCCTAGGGGAAAAATTGTAGGAAACACTGAAATCCACTTCTCAATTAGAATGAAAATGGAAGTTTTTATTATGGCTACATAACATGGTAGTTTGTGATGTCTTGTTTTATTGGTTTAAGCCTCCCTTTCTATGATTTTTTATGCTTCAAAATGTTCTTTTTTCAAAATGCTTTCACAATGTTTCCAAGGGTTTGCTTTTCATTGGGTTCAATAGCTAGCTTGCTTCAATTGGGTTTTCCATGTGCAACCAATCTCTAGTTGCACTCTTAGTGATGTGAATCTCTTATAATTTACTCACTTATTTTATATTACATTTTCTATCTCACACATGATATAATTTTTATGCACTTATATTTACTTAAACTTTATATTGAAAGAACAAATGAGGAAAAGAAAATGCTGCAAATTGTGTGGAGCCAGTCTAGTGTAAATATTTTTATGCAGTGTTTGGAAACAGGCACTTTATCACTTCTGAAACTGTGCAAAAGATTCGTGACTGGCAAATCTTTTCATTCCCGATGATGTTAGATTTTATTAACATGCTCTAAAAGGAAACTGCTTTTTGCAGAGGCTGATTAACATCATGAATTGCAACTGGAATACATTCTATGGTACTAATTTTAATTGTTGCTTTCATGATTTATACAGGTAGTTGTTGAATCAGTCAAGTCCTTCCTATCCAAAAAATGATCTTTACCAAAATGTGGTTTGTCCCCGAGCTGGTTCTTTCTTTTAGCGATTCAAGAGACAATGACTGAAAAGAACTGATGGAAATCCAGATCCTAAATTCAGATTTCGAGTATCATTTAAGAGAGAAGTCCCTATAGCTCAATATACATGAAGATGTGTTAAATGTACGTACCATGTATTTCCAGATATGCTTTGCTTTTCTGGGTGCACCCTATTCTTTTCATTCATACCAGAATGCAGGTATCATGATTTGATAAAACCACACACACTCTCTCCCTATTCTTCTCGTTTATACCTGAAGGTAAGTGCCCTTAGCTGATTAATTAATTACATATATTCGTACCCATGTTATTTTCTTTTTGTTCATTGAGTTCAAACACTTAGCAAATGTGATTGCCATCTGTCTGTGTTAAATGTTGCCGGCTTTCTTCTTTCAGTATATCAAATGAAGGGCCTGAAGGCATGAATTTCGTTGCTGGGATTTTTATTTTCCTTGTTCATTGACATTACTTACTCATCATGCTATTTTAGTTGGAGTTATTGGATCAAATAAATATGACATGAGTTTGTGCTTTGGACAAAAGAGCATGTCCTCCACAAATTCCTTTGCCATACATAAAGTTGTCTACAATCGTACAAATTAGAATATGTGGAAAAGTAAAATGGCGACCGCAACAAATAAGATTTGACATTAAGCTTATCTAAATTCCAAATGCAGGAGTGTTTTTAGTTTCCTCGTCAAACAGCACCCAAGATTTCCACTTGTTTTGTCTCCTTGACACGTTGCACTCTGATTCACCATGAGTCCCCCTCTCCCGTCCTTCCTTACACGTACGCTACCGCCTTTTCTGCTTATCCAAAACAATAAGTTCATGGTCAACAGGTGGCTTGCCATGTCATCACTGCCACGTGGCTCAACCAGGTTGAGCAACAAAAAGGAAACAGAAAAAGTTGTTCCCCAACACAACTTTGGATAAGATGGAGATATCTTGTTTCCAAACACCATTTCAAAATAATAATAATAATAATAATAATAATTTATAATAAAAATAGTCGCCAAAATTAATATTTTTCAAGTTAATTTTATATCACTGTTAATTAATCTTATTTCTATTTAATAAAATATCATTATATTAATTATTAAAATCAAAATCTTTGAATTTGTTTTAATCTTTAGTTATAGAACGTTTCTATTGAAAATAAATATCATGGTGATTATAATTTCTCATGTTATTAGTTTAGGAAAATTTCAAAATTAGTAACTTCTAATAATATTGTCAGGGTTAATAAAGTCTTTTAATTTATAATTTTGCAAATGCAAACACCCATATTAATACTCCTAATTTTGCTAATCTTGTTTTAAATCTTAATCTTGTTTAGATTACCAACTATGTATCTCAGTTCTATAATAACTATAAATACATTGAGATGGANNGTATGATTACGTCCCGGGATTCGCAGCCACCACGATCTGATCTCCTTCCGTTGTTAGTCTTCAGTGTGAAGCTCCCCTTCGTTCTTCATCCGCCTCCGTTCTTCTTTTGTTTCTACTTCTACTTCTACTCTTCCACTCCCATCTCAAATGCACCACCCACCACCCACATTCATTCACCCGATTTTCTCTCTTCTCCTCTCCTTTTCTTCTCTTTTTTGATTTTATTAAACAAAAACAATTCAAACGTAAATTTTTTATTTTTATTTTTATAAAGAAAACGGTTACCGTCTTCTTCCGAACTTCAAGGCCACTTCCCACTCCTCTGCTGCAGCGCCGTCCTTTTTGCTAGGGCTTCTCTTTCTTTCTTTTTTCAATGGCATTTTCCTGAGTAATGGCGGCCTCTTCCCCTACTCACTTGCATTTCAGACTCAGAAGACCCATTCTTTCCCATTTGCGCCCGCCTCTTTGCGGATTCGACCTCAGCAAGAGAAAGCGGAAGCTCTGCTTTCATGCCGCTCGCCTTGGCCTGACTCCACTCGCATGCTGCTGCTCTGACGCTGGGCTCCCCGTTCGGAGTCCTGACAAGGGAGAGGAATGGCGGTTCGATCCCAAGAAGAGCCCTCGCAGAGTCAGAGTCCATGCTTCTCCTGCAATGCCGTTCGCTTCTCCTCAGTATGTCTTCACATTAATTATTTATTTTTACATACTCCTCCCTCCCTTTCTGTAGCTTTATCAGACTATTTCTTCTCGTTGTTCTCTTTGTGCTTCTTTCCATCTTTTCTCTTTTATTTTTGTTTTTAAACTTCTTCTAAATGATGAACAATTTGTACTTGTCAAATTAGAAAATTTATGATGAACAATTGATCGAGGAAGCTTCTTCTAAATGAATTTTGATTTTGTACAAACAAGAGAACTATTTGTAGCTTAGCCATATATATATCAATGACTGATCTCAGTTTATGTATTTATTCTTTCCGTTTCCATGATCTTGTTGGCAAGGAAGATCCACATACTATTTTTTTCACTGGCTAATAATAATATTTGCCTTGGAACGGTGGCTTTTGTGGCAAATGACTTTTGAGCTTGAGCTTGGTGATCGTATTTAGGGCACAACCTCTCAAAGATATAAGCTATCCATTATCAGCCAGTATTGCTATTTTCCATTCTCACCTGTATATGATTTTACTTCCCAACTTAAAAATGTTTCCTTCTGTTGTGGGATGAAAAGATTATTTTATATTAAGATGACTGTGGATTTGGTTGTAAAGCTGCTTTGCGTTATAATTCTTGCAGATCTCCATTCATTTCCAAGCAAGAAAAATTCTTTCCACGTTGTACCCCAAGAAATTCTGGTCCACAGTCCCGTGATACCCCACCAAAAAGAGGTAACCTTCTGTCAGTAGACATCGAATTGTATGTGGAAATGCAGCTTATTCTGGAGGCAAATGATAAAGTCCATAGTCAAATTCTAGTCATGCTAGCATTTGCTTGTTGAATAATGCAGGATTTAAACTATCATATCTAATAGAATATGTGGTGTTCACTGGTTTCCGCAATGCAGACACTGGTATTGCAAATGAGAAGGACTGGGGTATCAATTTGTTAAATGAAAATGTTAATGAGTCTGGCACTAATGAAGATGGCAGTACTTGGTATCGAGAAAGTGGAGAAGACCTGGGAAAAAACGGATACAGATGTAGATGGACAAGAATGGGTGGTCAATCCCATGATGGTTCCTCGGAATGGAAGGAAACGGTATAAAATGATTTCACTGTTATCTTATTGGTCTGCAAGTTAGCAAATTGGAAGCAATTCTCTGTGGTCAATAGGTTAACGGTTGATGCTAATTAAATTGTATATTTTTATTGGACATTTTTTATCAAGAAGTTCCATTTATCACTGTTCCTGTTATTTTTGTTCGGAAGAAATTCCATGTTTGTATTACTGCCATTTTCAAGACCGTGTCACCTCCATGTTAGATATTCTAACAGCAATACGACCAGAACAACCTTGAAGTTCTCATTGATTGGCTAATATAGATTATCTTGATATGTCAAATAAAAACTACATTATTTGGTCATAATTCATTGTAATCCTCTCCTTTTAGATGGATAAAGACTCCTGTTTATTTTATTATAACTATGGAAAGACACTTGTAGATTGAAGTAACTTAAAGTAGGAGAATTCACAGCTGAACTCACACAACTGAACTCAACTCAACTAGGCCTTCATAAGGAATTAATTGGATTAAGTTGCTCCTAAATTGAATATGGAGAACAGTATAGGATCTTTAACGAATGACAAGCCAAATCCTTACCTCGCAATCACTACTACAACCATACGTGTAGGATTTGGATTCTCTAACTGAGACTTAATTAGGTAGATTGTATATACTTCAGTCAGAAGCAATCCCTTGATTCCAACCACAACTAAAAGAAACTATGCAGCATTTTAATTTATGGAGCGACATTGCAGTATCTCATGGTTTCTCTAAATTCTTTTATGTTGACATTCTCTTTTGTAACTGCATTAAGTATCATCCCAGGTGGATACATTTAATTGGATTTATTGATCTCCTTGACAGTGGTGGGAGAAAAGTGACTGGAGCGGGTACAAAGAGCTAGGTAATATTTCTTACCATGTTTTTCCTTTGTTGGTAAAAGAGGTAGTGACAGGACTAAGCTTCATGTCATTTGAGCTATATGCTCTTGGCTACATATTTTACCCTGTTGTTTACTGCAAATGCTGGCTATTTGAAGCATGATTTAATTGTGAGCTTGATTTTGTAGTTTCTGGTAACTTACCACATAGATCAGTACTTTTATCGTGTATCATATAATTTCAATCCTAGTAGTATTCCTACTTTAGTTGGTTTTAATCATCCTTATCTTTTTGTAGGAATCTGATCCTGCTGCTCATTGCTTTTTTTTTTAAGAACATATCATGCTACTTCAATTTTTCTCTTCATGGTTTGATGTTTTATATTTATGTTTCTAGTGACTGTCTATTTTGTGTGGTCAGGCTGCAATTAGCTTTAACTGAACACATACTCTTAACATAGTTTATTTGAAGACCTTTACTCAGTAGATCTTTTTATAGGAACTTTACTCTTAATAAAGCTGATGTTCATAGGTGTTGAGAAATCCGGGAGAAATGCTGAAGGTGATTCATGGTGGGAAACATGGCAGGAGGTCCTTCATCAAGACGAATGGAGGTCTTTCTTTGATTTCTAGACTACAAACTATGTTGTTCCTTCAATGAAATACTTTTCAGTATAGCATGCTATAATTTCTTGTTAACACCACTACTGCATTTCTTAAATAACAGTAATCTAGCAAGGATTGAGAGGAGTGCTCAGAAGCAAGCAAAATCAGGCACCGAAAATGCTGGATGGTATGAGAAGTGGTAAGTCAGCAATGCCACACAGAATAATAGAAGTTCAATTTTTTGAATCAAATTTGCAGTTGGGTGATGACAATTGACAAATGTAACTGCTCGAGTTAGGTGGGAGAAATATGATGCTAAAGGCTGGACGGAGAAAGGAGCCCACAAGTACGGTAGACTCAATGAACAGTCTTGGTGGGAGAAATGGGGAGAACATTATGATGGACGAGGATCTGTTCTAAAATGGTTTTCTCTACTGCCCCTTTATATTAATGCTTGAAAATTGGAGAAATGGAAGCTGTCTATCCTCTAAAATTTTAAGATTAAAAGTTGTCTGCTGCAATTTTATAAACAAATTCAAGTCGTGTCCAGAAATATAAAGAGATGCTAAATTTCACTTTGTTTGCTTTGATAAAATGCTTCTAGTCGCTGTCTTTTACTTCTTGTCTTTTGAGATCCATCTGCAAGTACTTGCCAATAGTTGTACCATATTAATTTGCTCTTCTCTTCAGGACCGATAAGTGGGCTGAGACTGACTTGGGAACAAAATGGGGAGATAAGTGGGAAGAGAAGTTTTTTGCTGGGATAGGTTCACGGCATGGGGAAACATGGCATGTATCGCCAAGTGGTGAACGTATGTTCATTTTTGTTTAATTTTTTGGCTTATCTTCAGTTAAGCAATTGGTTAGGTTATGTATGGAACATGTTCACAAATTAAGAAAAATCTGTTTATAGACCCACATTTTACTTTAATAAGAGGTTATGTAATTTAATTAAAAGATAAAAAATTTGATATCATATGTAATTGCATGTAAAATTTGTAATTCATTGTTCTTGTTCGAAATGGAATCACATGAGGTGGGGTTTTATTATTTCAGGGAGGATTCATCATTCTAGTTGAATTACGTACAGATTGTAATGAATTCCACTAAACTATTGGCTATATTCTAAATATTCTTTTTTGAAATAGGCTCTATTCTAAATAAAGTAATTAATGTATTTCTTCTTTCCCTGTCAAACTAACCCAATTCATCTCATCTTGTGTCCAGGTTGGTCAAGGACATGGGGAGAGGAACATTTTGGAAATGGGTATGAAACTTGGACAAATAGCTCTTTAATTTAGAAACCATGTTTTAGATTTTCAAGTCTTTATGTATCTGAAACTAATTTTAATTGATGAATTGCTAACATGCTTTATTACTAACCAGTAAAGTTCACAAGTATGGGAAGAGCACAACAGGTGAAAGTTGGGATATTGTGGTGGACGAGGAAACCTATTATGAGTAAGAACTTACACTTATTTATTAGCACCTACTACTGAACTTCGTTTTAAAATTAGATTCTAGATATGAATCCATGTGAGCATGATAAATAACAATGTTGGTCCAGTACCCTCTCCAATTCCCTTGAGTGAGGTTTTCTACCAGATGGTGCACATTCTTTTTGGAATATTTTCACCTTGAAAATACTGGCTTTTCATGCTTTTTGTACTGTACAAAAGTAACATAAACTAATAAGACTCGAATTTTGGTTAAAGGGCTGAACCTCATTATGGATGGGCGGATGTTGTCGGTGATTCAAGTCAGTTGCTCTCTATTGAACCCCAGGAGAGGCCGCCTGGTGTTTATCCAAATCTCGACTTCAGGTCATCTTCACCACCTCAGGCTGATGACCCACCAGACTTGCCTCCTACATTATGAGAGCTGATTTTAGGCTCCATATCTTTTGCTTAGGTGGTTTAATTATCATTTAAATGCATCGACGTAGGTTGGAACTCCCTTTGTAAGGAATATTGTGTGTTTTCGCTGTTCAATTTATTCATTCTTTGATGATTTCCATTTTTGGTTTTAATAAAATTTTGGATATTAAACCATTCTGAGACTTGTAACTTTATTCGAAGATGCAGTTAGACTTCATCATAGTTTTGATATTGAGAGAGGAGAGACAAGGACAAGTTTAGCCACCAC